TTTTCTCACTTTCTTTCTCCTTCATTTTCTTCTACATTCAAGATTCAAACCTCCAAATTTTCCATGGTTTCTTTTTTTTCCACTTATTCTAATGGGTATATAAATACACAACATCCTCATCAATGCTTTTCACTTCATTAAATTACACCTCTTGTTCTTATCATCAACTTCAACATTATAATATATAGTTTCAAATTGATCAATTTCTTGCATGGTTTTCTACATACAGTCATACAACACAACCAACATTTGATTTCAATTTTACTATCCTTTGTTGTGACAAAAAAAAAGAAAAATGGAAAACTTCGTTTCGGATGCTGATATGGAAAATGTAATGCAAGAGCTATCTCGGGGTCGGGAGCAAGCCATGCAACTGCAGAGCCACCTCGTCAACTCTCGACCCTCCGAAAATTACGATCCTTTGATAGGGAAAATAATCCATTCGTACGACCAGGCGATCTCCATGCTCGGAAACCGCCGTCCCTCGGCAGTCACGAACCAGGACTCGCCGAGGTCAGCCGCCAGTGACGACTCGGATCAAGCTGAGCCCAATAGAGATCATCCACCATATGGGAGAAGGTCACTTAAATATTTTGAAAGTTTAATTTATAAAAGCTTATATATATATGTACAAAATTCATGACATTTTTTTTCTTATATATGGTTCAATATTCATGAATTTGAATGCGTACAGAATGAGTTCTGCAAAGTGGACACAAAAGGTGAAAGTGTCACTGGAAATGGGGATTGAGGGACAACTGGACGATGGTTTCAACTGGAGGAAGTACGGCCAGAAAGACATTCTCGGAGCTAAATATCCCAGGTTTATATTAATTAATTTGGAATTAATTTTTTTTTTTTTCAAGACTTATTCATCTTTACATTTGAGTTATGCAAGTAATCTTGCTTCTCCTTACGGAGATTTGTATTTCTAGTAGAATGTACTCATATTTTTGGAAAATACTACAGTCCTTTTACGGAACCATTCTATCAGGATTTGTAACCGTTAGATCATCATGTAACCGTCGTGGATAGTTGATCTAGCGTAGTTCCGACGGAATGATTCCGTAACGGGACTGTAGAATCTCCTCATTTTTTATTTTTTATCTATTTGGGAAAAAAAAAAAAAACTACTAATAGGGACTGTAGAATCTCCTCATTATTACAATTGCATTATTTTATTAATTACAACCTCGTCCCTAACAAAAAGGAACACAACGAATATATGTTCCTCAGGTTCTGTTTCTAAAATACGTCAGTACTTACGTTGTCATCAACCTATAGTTATATAGGACAATAATTATGTGAAAATGCATTCTATAAATTCAAAGAAATCGTGTAATTTGATCACGCGTTCATAATTACTACTGTGTGTGTGTGGAAGTCAAAAGAATAAGTATCATTATAGGATTTTCTTACCCACACATATACGAAAATCATTATTTATTATTATTAATAATAAAAAACTACTTCCAATGCAGAGGGTACTACAGATGCACCTACAGGCATGGGCAGGGCTGTTTGGCTACAAAACAAGTTCAAAGATCCGACGAGGACCCGACCGTTTTCGAAATCACGTATCGGCGGCAGCACACATGCAACCCACGTGCAAACTCCACTAACATCACTAATCCGCCCACAACACAGCCCAGCCCACAAAACCAAGACCCAAGCCCAGCAACCCAAACCCCACACCTCTTAATCGAAGGCCCATCATCAACCCAGCAAACCCAAGTCACAGCCCAAGAATTAGGCACTAATGAAAACCCATTTAACTTCAACGCATTTACTTGTTCCGAAAATGACTCCATTTTCTCGGGTTGTGACAACATCTTAGGTAGTTCATCCGGGTCGGGTTATTTCACTAACACTAGCTATGGAGAATTTGCCCAAAACTTGCCCAATACGGATTGTGAGCTGAGCCCAATTGTTGCGCCGACGACTTCAAGCTCTTCGACTTTCGGGTCAAACTATCCTTACGGATCTTATGGATACGGGTCGAATTTTAGCTTTGGAGACCCGAGTTACTACCCGTGATCTCAAACCTTTGACATATTATATATATATATTGAAGAAATTAAAAGACCATTAATAAAGCTCAAACTATGGCTATTTTTAATTATCATTGCATTTTGTAGGGTAAGTTAGTAGTGTTTTTGTAACACGATATATGAAATTACTATACCAACCTTGTGTCAGCTAGTGTTGCCTGAATTTGTAGACGGTGAAGAGTCCGAAAAAAAAATTAAGAAATTGTGAGTGTATTTTGAATTGATGCATAACATACATATATGTTTATAACAATCATGAGTGTGAAACTTATTTAACTTTATCACAAAGATTGTTGCTGTAGCTATCCTTCTTTTTTGTTTTTCGTTATCAAAATTTCACAATTTGAACAAAGAAAGAAAACTCACAGGTAACAATTTCAAGCCTACTTGTAAGTCATCTTGGGACACAAATTCTTTTGTGATAGATGTCTAACAACAAGGAGTTGACCAGTCATATTTTTCGAACAAAAATGCATATTATATCGTCAAAATGTCATTATTTTCTTCATATTATTAATTTTATTATGTATGACGTACGTATTTGTATGAACGTATGGTATGCACATCTGCTAAAAGAATATAACTGCATAATGACTATTGATATCCCATATGTGTATCTAATACTTCCAAGTATGTCAATTTTATCTATTAATACTAATTAAAAAAATAATATTATTATTATCATTAATAATTAAATAACCTTTTTTTTTTTCTTTCAATGCAGATATAATTAATATCTATATGACGTAGGTTATTATCATTTGACAAAGACACAAAGTTCATTTAACACACGAGAGTTAACAGACGTGATTAAATATTATTATGGTCATTTATATGTAACATACGATGTCATTTTAAATAAAAATATAATCAAATTAAAAGAAAATTATACACATATAACTAGCATTGTTCTAAAAATCGGCCTAGGCGGACGTTCAGGCAACGCCTAGGCGCTAGACGGTGCCCGGGCGCCTCCGATTTGTACAAATCGGCAAAAAAAAATCAGTCAGGCGGCTAGGCGGCTAGGCGGCGCCTAGGCGGCCCTAGGCGCTTCTAGGCATAAATGGCGGGCTCGGCGGTCATTCGGTTAGGTGGCGCCTAGGGGGGCGGGCCTAGGCGCTCCTAGACGGGCCTAGCCGGGCTCGACGGAAATTTTTCAGTTTTTTTTTTTAATATTAATTACATTATCTTGTTCTCATGTTTTCTTTAAAAATAAATTAATTTTATTATTTGGACTTAGATGTGTCGATTTATTATAATTGAGATAATTTTATTTTGTAGGTCGTTAAAATAAATAAAAAAAATAAAGTATTTAATATTGATTTCTAGGCCCCGACTAGGCGCCGCCTAGGCCCCGACTAGACACTCTAGGCGCTAGGCGCTGGTCGAGCGCCTAGCGGGCGCCTATTGGCATTTAGATCACTGATAGCTAGTATATGTTTATATTTTGTAACTCTATATAATCTATCTATACTTATATAAAAAGGCATCCTATTTACTAGAATTAGTAGTTAAAAAAGACAAAGGTAATTAATGCATTTTATTTCCATCAAGTATTTTATTTAATTGTTTTATCCCATAACACATTTTCAATACAACTTACCATGATTTTTCTATTGTGATTAAAACCAGATTTTACGTTTAAAATCTTGTGAAATTACTATTATGAATTTTATAAAGCACATATTATTTGTTAAAAAAAAAAAAAAATATATATATATATATATATATTATACACATCACAGTACCATGATAGATGATTTAAATTTAAACCGACAAAATGCCAATGATTTAAATTTGAACACACCTATGCGTTTGACCAAATGTTTGGATGATTTAAAATTGAGCCCATAAAAAATTATTAAAATTTGAACACACCAAAAATTTTATATACTTTTTATTTATAAATATATTGAAAGTGGTATTTAATGGTTGTTATATAAATTATTTTAATATATTTGCAATGAATAAAAGTTTGAATGAATAATTTGTAATATTATTCATTATGTTTGTGACTTATGAGACACGAACACATAATTCCATACATATTTGCCAGAAGGCGGCTTAATAATTTTTATAGATTGTTCAAAGTTGTAATGAATCAACAAATCGTGGAATAAATAGAATATCATGAAAATATTTTCTACACTGATAAAACGTTACAAACTGAGAAAAAGGCTAAAAAATAATATGAAAAACTTTTATGTTTGTTTAGATTAACAACACTGATCCAACAAGTTCATCTTTCATGTTTGGTCAAAATAATTATCAAACTTTATAAATCAATAAGCAAAATGTTTGGTCAAATTAATAATCAAACTTTATAAATCATTTGCAAATGAAAATCAGTCTTAGTTGAATGTAGAGTATGTTGTAAAAGGAATGTAGAGTATGTTGTAAATCAATTCACACGGTTAATTTTGTGATAATTAAAACTAACAAACTAAAAAAAAAAATCAAAAAGTTTAGATGACATATGACATGCATCCCATTTCTGAGGAAATCTTATCTTATAGCAAAATGCTGGCTGCATCTAATCTAATAGATGTGTAGAAGAACATCATGGATAAAAAACTTCATCATAACGACAAAATCTTTATCTTATAGAAAAATGTTGGCTTCAATCTAATAATTATTTTTTTTCTATTTGCAACCAGCATTCTAGCTATACTAAAGTAAACTATTATATCATTAAGAATATATTATAGTTATGTTATCAAATCATAAAAAAGATATTAAATCCATATTGTAAAAAAAAAACAATTCATATAATTTTATAACAATTCTACTACATTATTTAACATTATTTCTTTTTATTATATAATAAAATAATAATTAAATATTATATGGTGAATAAGAATAAGTAAAACTGTTACTTTCTCTTATATCAAGGGATAAATTTATATGCTAAAATTAAATTTTTATTAGTATAAATGTTTTACTGAGATAATGTATTAATTATTTTACAAGTTAGCCCTAAAATGCTCATATTTAATGTTATGGCTAAAAAAACAACGCTGGTTAAAAGATGTGAAAAAAAAAATTATAACCCTATCGTGTTTTAGACTCAACGTTTACTTTTTAGACTTAAACATAAAAGACTATAAAAATAATTCATTTAATATCTATGACTCGTGCGTAAAAGATTATGTTTACTAGGTATACTAAATTGAAAGCAGCATTAATTAGGCCCTATATATAATTTGGAAACAAAATTTGAAACTACGATGTAACATCAATCTTTGATGTGACAGTACATATGCTAATTGGTAGAAACTCACTAAATAAAAGTTTTGTGGTTGAAAAATATTTGAATGTTCAAACAAAATAATGAAGATGATCGAGAGTCATAAATTAAATTGGGCCAATTTTCCCAAGTGGATATATACTATGTATGTGGCTCAACCACGTACTTATACGTAAGTGCACAAAATAGAAACAGCCTAGAATAGCATTATGTAACAAAGATTCATGTTTTATTTGATGATTTATTTTAAGTTTTGGAATTAAATATTTAGGAGAAGTGAAATAAAATTAATTAATGACGGCCGATATGTATATGTTTGAGTTGCACGGGCAAGGACACTAAGAGCATCTCCAACCCCTACGCTATAGGAAGCGGAAATTGTAAGGGTGTAGAGAATTCATCTTCAATCGGGTCTTCTATGTGTGCAGGAAACGGCAGAGGGGTTTTGTGGAACGGTTTGGCAACCGTTCCACTGTTCATCCACTATATTTTTTTTTTGGTTAAAAAATTAAATTGGATTGTATTTGGGCTATTTAGATGTATTGTGGGTGGGCTTTTTTTTAACTATAATTGGGCTAATTGTATTAAATAGTTTTATGGGTTGAATTAAAATATTTTATAATTGTTTTAAATTTAATTATTGTAATTAATATGGTAGATAATAAAAAATTGAATAATTTATTAAATAATATGATAGAATATTAATTAGAATTTAAATTTCCTTAAATAATATTTCAAACAAAAAATAAGAATAATGCATTTATCTTATTATAATTTTATATGTAATTTTATAATTTTTATTTAAATTTATTAATTAATCTTATTAACCAATAACTAATATATATACATAGATATGTAAAATTTAGCACGCATAATGCATTAAAATATAATTTGTATAGATTATTTAGTAAATTAATTAAATTAGAAAAGAATATGCTTGGAATATTCTTTTAGAGGGGAATTATAGAGGGAATGGGTTGGAGTTGCTGGTATTGTTGAAACTGTATAACTAGTGGGATTTTACTGTAGAAACTGTATGTACAGTGGGCATGGTTGGAGATGCTCTAACAAAAATAGCTACTATTTAATTTCCAATAAAAAAAATAGATTCCTACTAAAATAATACTCAAATTCGACAATTTTAAAAATTACTAGATATTATTGATGAACTGAATTTCAGAAAATGCTACAATCCCGTTACGAAATCATTCCGTTGAGATTTGCAACTGTTAGATCATCATGTAACCGTCGTGGATAGTTGTCTAACGGTTACAAATCCCGACGGAATGATTTCATAACGAGATCATATAATCTGCCTTGAATTTATAATAAATTTACTTCCAATACACATGACAACTTACGGAATTAATATATAAATTAAGCTACAGCTCATAAATTAATTAAGCAGTCGCTCATCTATCATGATGAGATCTTCACCCAAAGAGTTCCATAGACACAAAAGTCGCTACAATTTACTAATAGTACTAGCCATGACCAATTAATTAATTATTATTAACCCACAACTATATTATATGTTAATTAATGATTAACAAAAATTTATAACCCGTGTTAATCATTAATTAATTAGCGTGCGTGGAATATATCTGCTGAATTTTCTGGGGCCACTAATTAATTAGGCTGGAATATGTGCTGAATCTTCTGGGCCAATTCTTCTGCGCTGAGCTGGCACTCAATCCCAACCTATCAAACAAATAAAATACAAATTATTCAATAATATATGCTATATATGAACTAATTAATTTCCTGTTAATGATTGCCCTAACCCTGTTTTATTTATTTTTAGGCAAATTTATGTACAGAAAGAGGAAAAATAAATAAATAAAGAGGAAAATAACATTGACATGCATTATTTATTTATTTCACATTCTGACCTTTATAGTAAACGAATTCAGCATTTTCTCCTCAACCATGTTGATATTCACTTTCAGTATTTCAAGCCCGAGCTCCTCAAGAGTGGAAACTACCTTCACAACCCGGCCCGGTGCCCGGCCCGAAACCGTCTTGAGCAGCAGGTTCGGGCCGCAGAATTTCACCTCGACCTCAGCCACAGCCGATTTCGAGCTGGCCACGAGCTCGTTCACGCTGTCATTAATGGAAGAAGTCGAGGAGTTGCAAGGCGAGAGCTCGACCGGGCTTGAGAAGCCCGTGGGCTGCAGATTGTGCAGCCGGGCCTTGTACGGGCTGCTCGGCTGAGGGGTCCTCGGGCTTAAGGGCAGGCCCATCCTCGGGCTCAATGGGGGCTTCCTCGGGCTTATGACGGGCCTCGGGCTGAAGACGTCTACATAGGCTTTCCTTTGCCTTTTGGCCTCAAGAGATTGATGAACTTGTTGCAACTCGTTTATGTAGTCGATTACACCGCCAATAATCGAGGCTTGGTCGCCCTAGAAAAAAAAAAACAAGACTGTTACGACATTTAGGCCACATTGCAGGGATACAAATTGGAAACTCAGTTCTGCAACTCACACTAAATTGGTAAATAGTCCCGTAATTGCGGTGATTTTACAAAAACACTAAAAAAAGAACCTGAAATTTGGTCTTCCACTAGGAAAAATTGGTCAATGTGACCGGCTTGCTGAGTTGAATGTGTTAGTTTGTTGCCACGTGTACGATCACGTTTGAATCCAACTCAGAACC